ACTGTCTACTATAATAAACAAGAAAAATATTACATACATTCGTATGTAATATAGGTACGATTGCATACTACTTTTTGTGAAGACTTTTTATGTTACTGCATTAAAGGTGTAATGTAAAATGAACAAACATGTCATGAGATATTTTATATCTTTAAACATTTTCATGGAATGTAATTAATGTATCATCATATTAAAGTTGCATGCCTTCAGATGAGAAAAATGATTCAAGGAAATCAAAATATGAAAAGAAAATTCACGGTCCATTGACTGCTTTGAAGCATAATCACAGAATAAAATTACAGGAAATTAAAAACCTTTTTAATACACTTAAGGGAGAATTTCATTGTAAGTCATAGTCACAGATTTGAGATATGATTATTTATTCATATTTACATCATTATTGGTTATATATTGATAAAAAAAAACCCGAAAGACACAGTTTGTAAATATTTATTACAATAAAATAAAATGTATTTTCCATCCTATGCGACGCGCCGAGGTTAGCTATATTTATAATTCCCGCGCTAAGTCGCGGTGGTGCTTGGGATAATCACTTGATACTGTAAATGGCAGCCATTTTACGATACGAAAATGCCTGGCCGTCCTTGGACAGTTTATCCTGTCGAAAAGATATGAAAAAATACTTGCAATTCAAAGTTTGTTTGCTACATAGAGAATATCGATTTACTCTTTGCAAACTTTTTCTCTGCCTGATTGTAATAATATTGATGTGTTTTCATTGGCTTAAACCATCACGTTATCAATGCACATAAAGGTGTGAACTAATTTCGTGTTCAATAGAATTATTCCGTTGATAGACATATAACATTCCTATTTACAAATGAATTGATTAAACAACAATCCAAGAAGCATTTACGATAATAACAATCATTGGAAAAAATAAATGCATATTAATTGTAAATTTGTGTATGACAACTCACCCCCTTAACAAAACATAATAGACTCAACCAAAACAACCGTCTGCTTCTTTACCTAACTATGTAGTTGCATGACCATGATAAGTTATAGCAAACCAAATGTAAGAGCTAAAGCTATTGTAAAAATAATACTATGACCCCAGCAGATTTCGTACAAAAAACTGTAAGGCTATGTCGCGTAAATATATCTGACGTCATAGTGGCACAACGTCACTCTAAATGGTATCGTTCCATCAAATAAACAGAAAATTTCTTATTTACTAAATTCATTTAAGTTTTTCGCATAATATTATTTTCTAACTCATTCAATAAAGTCATTCATTTCTCTGTTCAATGAGCGACCAGCTTGAAGAAACACTTACACAGGCTCATCTCATCTGGGTGTAAGCTAGTCACAATCAGTTTTCGTTTGTAAATGGTTGACGGGTTCAAATATTAAGATTTCCTTGCCAGTAATTTGTTAGGAATGATTTTAGACTTTTTCTTTAGAAAAGAAAATATATCAAGCCGTCCGTACCTTTTTAACATTTTTGCTCTGCTGAATGCGTTTCTTCTTTCTGATAAGGGGATAAGACCATAATTATCGCACAACACTGGCGAATTTTAATGTGAAACCAACACTATACAAATGTTTCCTGAAAGTGGAGGCTTTTCTTTCCATTCTGCTTTTTATACAAAATATTCTCAAACTATACACATGTGTTTTAATTGGTATATTAACAACGCATATCTATTATGCCACCAGCTAGAAAATATGTATATCAGATGGTACAGCATTGTTCAATTAATTATTTCTGACCTGACCAACATTTTTTTTCAGATATCTATCATTTTCTTCATAAAAATAATTAATTATCGACTGATTGGACAAATGGAAATCCACCAAGTAGTAAAGTGCGCCGTACGTTATCACTGATATTTTGTGCGCCATACGTTATCATTTCCGGAAAATGCCCCGATATTAATATTTACAGCAGTAAATCTAGCCAGAATGGACATGTATGCTTAGATGACGACATATTACAACTTTTTAAAGTCAGTGGTTTCAGTTAATATACATATATGTAAACGAAACAGTGAATTTTAGAGAAAAAGCCGTACGTTACCACGATCAAACCGGTGGAAAATTCTCTCGCTTCGAATCTGGTGACGCGCATTTCAGATGAAGTACGGGACGAAACATCATGAAATAAAATCCTGTGTGCCAGGAAAATTGTGGAGAAGGTTGTTATATGTACTTTTACATCAGAACATCACGAATTTCAGAGAAAAAAGGGAAAAACCTACTTTTCGGCTGCATCCGCCATCTTGTTTGTTTGGGTAACGAACGGCGTGATTCTCCCCCTTGAAAAATGTAATACTGTCAACATAATAAGTGTCTGGCATTATGCGTTGATGTATTTGAAAGATGTCTTCAATCATTGTGTTGTTTATATTTTTTGGGGGATGGGGGTGCCTGGTGGATGGAGATTATTTGGCAATAAGTAACATGTTGCAATGAAATGATAAGAATATGATATACACAAATTAAAAAGATTAAATGTGTAGCCATTCGCATAGAGAGAAAAGGAAGTTGTATTAATTAATTCATTACAATGCTTTGAATACCGGGTTGTATATAATTTGATAGACTTTCGGTCGCATGTATTTTTCATTTCCAGCGTATCATGCTATTCATTTCAATAGTTCTATGTTGCAATAACATTACAAAGAAATTGGATATTCAATAAAAAATATTTGCTAATGGTTTGATGTCTGTAATAGATAATTCTGCTTTCAAGTGAATTTGATGTTGCAAGATTATATCGTAAATACGTGGTGTTAGTTGTGCATTTTACATGGATTGGATATATAAGCCGCGTCACGACAAAACCAACATAGTGCGTTTTCGACCAGCATGGATCCAGACCAGCCTGCGCATCCGCGCAGTCTGATCAGGATCCATGCTGTTCGCTATCAGTTTCTCTACTTGTAATAGGGTTTGTAAGCGAACAGCATGGATCCTGATCAGACTGCGCGGATGCGCAGGCTGGTCTGGATCCATGCTGGTTGCAAACCCATTATGTTGGTTTTGTCGTGACGGGGCTCATATTTTGTTTGACTGTGGTTGCATCATATAAAATATAAAGATAGATCTATGATATTGATCATGTGGTTTGGAAAGTATTTTAAAAACGCACTACAACTATATTTAACTCACATACACGAATATCATGATACTGATGTTTTTATTCTTTACAGTTTCATTAAAAGAGTTGCAATTCAAGTTTTTCGACATCTTTCATTTATTTAAAGGGATTTCATTTTGATGATTCCCGTTTTGAAGATCATCCGTTCGGTTGTTTTGTTTTTTTTGTTAAATGTGAACAAAATATTTGGAAAAAACCCAACAAAAATTGCATAAAAATGACTCTTGAATTAACATCATATTTTATGATCACATTTAGACCGAAATGAATTCTTTTAATATCGTAATGACGATAATTGATGTTATTGTCCAGTATTGCTGACCTGGCACTTCATTTCCTTTCGTAAAAGGACACTGGGAAAACACTGGTATCTAACGGGTATATCGATATATTTGTTACCTTCACACGTCAGTGAGCTGTAATATAATGGTTCAGATGCCGAGCTAACGATCTAAAAGGTCTCGTTTCCTATCCAACACCACGTTATGAAGATACACTTTTTTTTGTATGAATTTAAAATCATTTTAGTACATTTGGTTTTAGGATACCTATTCATTAGATAACTATTAAATAGAGGTAATTTGTAATTGGTAACTTGAAAATGTGAAAATATCTTGGTGATTCTTCTTCCCAGTCAAGAAGCTTGATCAAGACCATTTCAAACAGAAAGAGGCTAAACAAATGTGAAATGCACATCTCAACTCTTCACTGCTTATAGGTGTCCGGTTGCACCGTTTAAATTCCAGTCTTCCATTGCAAGTGTAACAAATTTTCCAAAAAGGGGTTTTCACGTTTTCGGCATCCACAACTGAATATGACAATTGTTTCTATAGAAGAACTCTTTGCTAACATTTTGTTATGTTTGCTCCTCATTGAAAACATTAGATCGATCTTCTCGGTAACAGTATGAATTAATTTGTTGAGATTTAACAATTCGCCTGATTGTTATTTATACGCACAAACGCACTCCACAAAGTTGCACAGCTTGAGTAAGAACAATAAATTACATCTGCATCGTTACAGACAAAGGTAATGTTACTATTAAACACGTTAACACTATTCTTAAGTCCAACAATCAATAAAATTGTACAGTTTATGTAATGTCTGGCAGATTGATAAAAGCTGTTTTCTTATAATAGCGCTTATAGGATATAAGCATTGATTAGCTCTTTTTATATGTAAGACAATAGAAATTACAGTATTTTTAGCAGTATAAACTTTTTTTTGTTAAATATTTTTATTATAAAATAAATAATACAAAAGTTGGTAAGTCAAACAAGTTTCAAGTTGTACCTAAATACAGTGTAATATTTGACATACAAAATAACAATGGTATAAATAAATAAATTTATGTTTACTGGTAGTCATCTTGCATTTAAAACTGTGCATTATAATTCAATTAAATCATAATTATTCTCATATTGTTATTTATGCACTACAATGCGATTACGTTAATTGACACTATTAGAGATTTATTACAAACTGTATTAAAAGATGTGCTTTATTTAAAAAGACCTGTCAGTAATAAGGAATATATGAGGATTAAATAATTAAAGTTTCAATTTAATTTGATTTTTTTTTGAGAAATTACGCTGAAGTAAGTATCATATGACCGCCATATTGTAACAAACTAAACTGAGAATAAAATATAACTTGTTTTCAAATTTTGGAAAAGAAGGCTGCAATATTTTTATCTCATTTCTCATATCTACAAACATGCAATTCATATCAAGTGCCATTTGAATTATAAAAAGTGCTCTTCTGTATTTTCTAGATGAATCCCTTTTATTGACAGTAGAATTCTTTTATAAACTGATGTTTTTCTTCCAATTAGTGCATTTATATATAATCCTGTAATCTTATCCAAGCCAGCACGACTATATCGGGCCGATATACGGTAAATGTCGGCATGTCGGCAAAGTGTGCCGATTTGGGGCCGACATCGGACCGCTGCAGTGCCGACATGCTCAATATTTTGAAAAATTCTAAATGCAATGGTATTGTTTACTTAATTATGTTAATAAATAGTCCTGTGTATGATTTCAATTACTAGAACCACATTAACCACATTTCATGTTACATCAAAAAAAGGACATCGGGTCTGCGTCGGGCCTACATGATAAATAAATGCAACTATTTTGTATATCGGATTGACATCGGTACGATATTGCGTTTTCTGTCACATATCCATATTTTGTTAAATCGTTGAAATATTATGAAATAAATTAATGCCAATGAAACACCGTTGTTCTTTACTTATTATATTTACGTACTGTCTTACTGTCCGGTTTTTGTAGTAGACAAGGGAGGGAATTCTGTTAGGTTTATTCCCTCCCTTGATTACCATGCAGCAAATAATTGTACATTTTGATATGAATTTATAAAATAATTTTAGCTGAGTTTTAAAATGATATGTTGTTTGTAATTGAATTCAATATTTATTTTCTAAGCACATAAAAAACACTCTTCAATTATAATTTAAATGCAAATCTGGCAAATATTCACTGCATTTCTACTTTCAACAGAACAACTTCAACAAGCGCCAAAAAGCTAATCAAAGGAAGGTGATGAAATTATATATATTTTAAAGTAATGATGATTTATCAAATGTGTAAACATTGTTAATTATTTGATTTTAACACTTTAAGTGATTGGAAAAATAAACCATTTATTTGTTTGTCTGATTTTAATGTAAAATCAAGGTTGAAAATATTTGTTACATATTTTCGCGACATGCATTAACAGGGCAGTGATAATTTATCATTTGCACATCAAAGTTAGAATGTACTAAATATTCGCTCTTATAATCTTATTTTGTAAAAAAAAATATGTTTGTGTTTTGCATACTTGCTGTTAATTTTCACTTTCACAGTTTATTAATGTGCATGTACATGCTTTCCCTTCTACTGGAATTTTTTCTTTAATTGATATGAATATGAGCAGGGAAGTTGGTTAAAATAATCATTCATTTTTTTATTTTTCATTTTCTGTTTAAAGGTGATAGTGCTGGGTATACAGTTAGTGTAGGCAATTAGAATCACCTTTATATCGAAAGCTATATTTTATTTAAATGACATAATCTGAAAGGAACTGGTGTCATTTCTTTCTTCTTAAACATCACATTATTACCATCTGTTATAGATCTACTGTTGCAGTAAAAATAGAAAAACAACGCGAAAATTTATTAATTGATTACCCTACAACATGAGAAAAGAAATGTAAAATATACACTGCAGATCAAAATTTTAAAGCCTTCATTTAAAACAAAGGTTATCTGAAAAACTTGTCATTCAAGTACTTCTGGATCACACGAAACATATATTTCCCTACACACAGGTGCTAAATTTTGTATACTTATATGCATTGATTCTTTGAATTCATTGAAACATTTGGAACATCATTTTGTTTTTGTTGGATTAAAAGAAATTAAATGAAGTGATTCGGATTACCCTTTTTTTACCTTGAATTTTGCCAATTTTTGTGGTAAATTTCAGTTTTATTTAGGGAGTTTACCAGTCATGATTCAGGATATTTGCTGTTTATTTTCTATTGGGAAGGGTGCCGTTTGCATGTATCAGTTATTTACGGGGGGAAAACGCTGTGGAAAAAACCTTAAGAGAAATTTTAGCAATTCAGAATGTAGTTATGTTTGACCTAATTTATATGTTTCGTTAGGTCTCTTTCTGGAAAGGGAAAGTATGTACATGTACAATCATTAAAAATTGTTGTAAAAGTTTAGATATTAGCAAACAAAACCGTGTCATGAAATAGGTAGATATGTGCTGACATTTTATAGAAAATCACAGCCCTGTATATGTATAAAAAAAATCTGCAAATGTGAATCCATTTGTCTAAGCAATAAAGACTTATATTGTAAAATATTGGTACATTTTCATCACTTTCTTTTGACAGTTTGTTGGAATGTTTGTGTTACTACATTTAGAATGTACGTGCTAGTTGAATTCACTGATGAAACATGTTTAGCTGTAATTCCGGACAAATGGTGTGATGGAACAAAATGTGCTTTATGGCCAAGCTGGAAGGTATCTTCTAAAATTACTAAAGCTGCAATGAAGAAGATGGAGCCGCAGGATGATTGGCAATCCTTCCCAATCCGTGAATTGTATGAACATGGTAAATTGTGTTAATTTGATTATTTTGATTTACTTTCAACCAGATTTGTATGTTTGTATTTAACTCTTAAAGAAATATATCCTTTTGTGTAAGTAAGGATTATTGCAAATACTGAATACATGTAATTTTAAAAGAAAATTTCAATTGAATCAGGCTTGTCTTAAAAAATGTAAAATTACACTTTCTTTGTCATGCTTATAAATATTGATTGAATTACATTGTTAATATCACATTGTGGTCAAAATTGGCTTAAACTATTTAAGTTAATATATTTAAATTATTGCTGTTGTAGAATCATATGATAAGGTACGAAAGAAGCTGCGTGAAGCAGAAGATTAATCTGACCTAGCAACTACCTTAGAGGCTATAGTGAAGATGAGGCAGATTCATACCGCCGATCAAAGAGAAAAATCAGGTAGCTGTTTTTTCTTGGCTAGAAGTTAATTGTGAAATGTTAAAAAACATTCTCTAGTATCTTTCAGTCACCATCAGTGATGACGCTCGCAATTATTATAATTTTTTTTATATCGTAAAAAATCAAGTAGCATTCAAATGCTCAATGACTAGGGTCATGTAGCTGATATCTGGCCACTTGTAGAATTAATTATACTAAAATAAATGCATATGGAATACAGTACATTGATTAAAGGTACTGTCAACAACATCCCTACTAAAGTCTTTAAAGCAGCGCCATGCCATCAGAATCATGCTTATTTTCATGAAAATTTTAAAAATGTATTTTAAAGTAAATACTATGAATTGAACAAAGAAGAAATAATTGCAAACGGCAATTACAGTTCATGTAAATTGAAAAAAAAATGATCCAAATATACATAAATACGTCTTTACTCTTTCTGCATTAGTAACGTCTACGCGTTAGTAACGCAGTAAAATTATAGTGATTGTCTGATTGATACTGTTAAATCAGTCATTTATCCCACATAACATGTAAATAATTAAATATTGAATATTTTCCCTTGATTAGAGCATTATTATGTTAAATTAATACAGGGGTTATGTTTTTAACTATTTTAGAAAAACAGTATTTTCTTCATCTGATGAAGATGAGGACAGGCATGATTTTACTGCTGTTTCACGCAGTAAGAACAGAGGAAGGGTCTCAGGAAGAAGTTCAATCAATGCCTATGACAGTTTCTTCATCATCACCACCGTCTTCCATCTCACCACCGTCTTCCATCTCATCACCACTGTCTTCCATCTCATCACCACTGCCTTCAACAAAATCGCCATCTCTTCCTAAACCACCACCACGTATCCCATTGGCAACCACTCCAATGTGAAAGTTGGCTCAAAGACGCAAGAAACAGCAGCTCCAGATGCAAGTATGTTTTGGCCTTTTTAGTTATACATACCTTTTTTTGTATTTTGTTGATAATTAGCTTTGCATTTATGTAATTGAGATTGACTTCTCTTCATAATTTGCTCCAAAAAAAAAAGGTCAGGGTAATTTCTTAAAAAACAATGGGTGCTAATATAAGATTAATTGCGTAAAAGTTTAATGTTGTTTATATCAAGCTAGGACTTGTCATCTTTCTTAAGGATGAACATTTAGCCTTGAGAACCATGACATTACTGTGATTTTTTTCCTGATTTTGTGTAATAACATATTTTTTCTTGCCAAATTTAGATAGAGATCATGTTCGCTTCTCAAGAGAAGTGTTCACTAGTATCGAAAAAATCAGAATCGAACAAAACCAGCAACGCAGAATGCTTGAAACTCTTCTAGATATGGTCAGGAGCTAGGAGCGTCAAAAGCGAGCAGCTCCAGTACCTTCAGTCTGCTTGAAGGTATTACCCGTCCCCTCCAATCTTTGGAGGATGTTGAAGGGTTAGAAAAAGAGTTGAGACAACAGACTGTTCTCAACAACATGGTAAGAAAACCTGTCTCTACAAGCGTATTTTTTTGTCTATCAGTATATATACATGTACTGTCTCAATGCCCTTTAATAAGTGCCTCTGAAAGCAAATGCTTGTTTTTGGCCAATTCATTATACAATGATAAATTTATCGAATTTTGTTCTTTTTTTGTAAATTTTGAAACATGTAATTTTAGCTGTAAAAGCTGAAGGCATACAGTAAAAACCATTAAATACATGTACTATGAAAACAGATAATGAGATTTGTTTTTTAAAAGATTATTTCTTCATATTCATAGTTCTTTTCATTATAGTTCTTTTTAAAAATTGAAATTTTGTTATGTTTAAATACTGTTTTAGTGTTCAGCCTTAATGACACTTAACATTTCAGGTCAACTACCTGTCTTTGATTGGCGGGAAAAACACACCAGATATGGTCAGGCGAATTCTGAGCCATGTAATCAAAAGCCGTTTGGCAGAGAGTTACAACTGGTACGGAAAGAAAGGAAAGCTTAAATTTGGATCGTTGAAAATAGCGGAAGTGATTTGTAGTAAGTCATAAAGTTTTTTTGCATTTTTTTTCGCATTACTGTACTGTTTTGGATTGGTTTCTGATTAATCTTGTTTTAGATTGGCTTTCTGAGTAATCTATCAATTAAAATGAAAAAAAAAAGCAGATAAACTTTTATGTTTGTTATTTATTCAGAAATTCAAAATCTATTAAAGTATAAAGCCCATTATTTGTTACTCAAACATTTTGAAGGTATGTACATTTCAGTTGTCATAACAATGAAGAGCAGGTGAACTTATTCAAATAATTTCCTTAACTTGCAAAAATTTAAACAAGACGTACAAAGAGAATATCACTGTAAAAAAGTCAAATGAACATTGCGTTTTTTATGTAATTTACAGAGGCAGTGCAGAAGACCACATCAGGAACAACCACAGCAGAGGTCGAATTTATAACTAGAGAATGGTTGAGGACAGCAAAGACCGTGAGGGAGGTCGTAAAAATAGAAAGGCAGCCACAAATATCCTCGAGTGAAAATTTAGAAAACTGAGATTTCAAAACTGTCCTCCAAAAAAGATACATAATTATACTTACATGGACTGATAAAACATGAGAACATTCATTAGCATTTAAATACTGTTTTACTAGTTATGCACCATTTATTTTCTCTCTTTTTTCTGTAAATCACCAATGTGAAAGCTTTGATAAAGCATGTGGAAAAAATCATTGATTTAAAAATGTTAGTATCATGAAATATTGTGGGTCCCTTGCACTGACAGAAGTAGATGTAAATTTTTATTTCAAAGTATGTTTCCTTGAAATATAGAGGATGTAGAATGAGTAGGTTTTATACTAAATTTATTGAACAAGTTGAATAAAATCATTATGCGAGCATAATGTTGTTTTATTCAACGAGTTCAATAAATTAAGTATTGAATCTACAAAAATTTAAAATATTCTATTTATCACATATTCAAAAAAAGAAAAAGTTTATTGTAGTGCTGTCATAGATTCAGTGCAAAGCATATTGACAATACATTGATATCGGCTGACTAAATATTGGCATTACGCCAATATATCTAAAAATACTCTTATTTTCTTGTATATAATACTTCTATTTCATACCTGTTTAAATGATTTTAGTAAAATAGATAGGTTGTGTACCTTTGCATGATTTTTTTCTGATTATATTTTGTCATAACTGCTATGAAATGTGTCCATTATGGAGCAACAGCTTAGTGTTAGACACGGCCATCTGCTTTTGTGTATCTTTTTTAGTGAATTTTCATTTTTTATAGACCTTTAAACAATCAATTTTTTTCAATTTTGTATTGATTATTTTTCGACAGAAAAATATCAATGATACATCGATATTGTCTCTATCGATGACTGCTCTAGTTTACTGTTGCTTTAACGCCATGTTTATAGATAGTGCAAATGTGTCCCATAAAATTGTTATTACACTAGTGTAATATTGGTTTTATTAAATGGTTTTATTACACTCCTGTGCCGCGGTTTATGTAATAAGAGACAAGAGGTTCTGTATTTAAACTTTATTTTTGTACTTGGACACACACACAAATAGTTATTTTTCAGCAAGTAACTATCTAGCTTTTTTGTTCCAGCTTGTTTGTCATTTGAGTCAAATATTTATGCATTTGTTTTCATAATGTAATAATTATTACCATGTTTTTATTGCTTAAAATGCCAACCAGTATTAAATTATACAATGATTAACTTGTTTGACACTCTCTATATATTTTATTTTGTTGATGATTTAATATGTTTTACATCAGTATTGTGCCAAATTTATTATATGTTATTCTTTGTGCCAATTAAACTCATTATTATTCAATTTGAAAGTCATTGATTTTTACATTCAATGTTTCTCCAGATACAAATTAAATACCAACCATAAATTAATTGTAAGGTTTGAAGATATTTATTTTCAAGTTTTTAAATTCAGTATTTTACCATCTTGCTTGGAAATTACACTCTTACATAAATAGTCTAATCACAAGTTCATATTGATGTATTTTTATCTTACGGATATAAATATTTGTAAAATCTGCATAATTGAATTATATGTTTGCATGACATATCTTTTTTTAATGTTAGCAGTTTGTTGAGGTTGTTTATATTCATTAACAATTTTGTTTTATTTTAGTCATGTTTGTTGTCCAATTCGTTTAAATAAGTCAGGTATATTTTACTGTTTTTAGCTCGACTATTCGATAAGAATAAGTAGAGCTATTGTAGTCACCCGAGCGTCGGCGTCCGCGTCTGCGTAGCAACTTATGTTAAAGTTTTTGTAATAGTTCAAATATTTTCAAAGTCCATTGACATATGGCTTTGAAACTTTGCACACTTGTTCACCATCATGACCCCCAACTGTAGACAGGAGGAGGTAACTGTATCAAGTATTTTAACAGAATTATGCCCCTTTTTCGACTTAGAATTTACGTTAAAGTTTTTGTAATACCTCTAATATTTTCAAAGTCCATTGACATATGGCTTTGAAACTTTGCACACTTGTTCACCATCATGACCCCAACCTGTAGACAGGAGGAGGTAACTCTGTCAAGCATTTTGACAGAATTATGCCCCTTTTTCAACTTAGAATTTATGTTAAAGTTTTTGTAATACCTCTAATATTTTCAAAGTCCATTGACATATGGCTTTGAAACTTTGCACACTTGTTCACCATCATGACCCCCAACTGTAGACAGGAGGAGGTAACTGTATCAAGTATTTTAACAGAATTATGCCCCTTTTTCGACTTAGAATTTACGTTACTCTATCAAGCATTATTTTTTACTATCAAGCACTAGAATAGTCGAGCATTGCTGTCCTACCGACAGCTCTTGTTTGTGTTCCTTGTTAATTATTTTATGATTTCATAATTTTTCAAATAAACAGTTCTTTTCATTATTTGTAAAACATGTATATATATTGTTACTCTAGTCTTAAGGTAATATATGTATAAATTGCTATTTCTCTCCAATTTTCAAAGGAAAAAAAAAAGATTAATTGATAAGATCTTTAAAGCATCTCTAGTGTCTTTTACCTTTATTTTGGGGCATGTTTCTTTTGATTGATGCCAACAAATAGGTATACAAACTTCTTTCATTTTAGGTATTCTGTATATGTTGTAATCAGAATATAAACAAAGATTCATTGCATTCAAAGTACTTAAAATACATTGCTTTAAACACTTAAAAATCAAATTTTGTCATTTCCATGCCCTTAATTTTCAAATTAAAACTGTTGATATCTCAATAAAACATGCATTTTTCTTATATCAAAGTTGTCTTTCAACCAATGTGCTTTTAATGATAATAATGTGATCAAATTTTGTCATTGTTTTAGAATTATTAAAATTGATTATTGAATTTAGTTCATTTGTTGTGATTTTGTTTCTCCTTTAAGGAAGTTAACAACAAGAAATGTTTAAATTGCAGGCTATGCCAAATGCCTGTTGCTTGTCAGAATCAACAGGCTAGCCTAAGGATCATACGTGGTCAATGTAGGGCTGATATCTTCTGTTGGCTGACATCGCACCGCTATAGCTTTGATGTTGGCCCGATGTAGGCAAGAAATATCAGGTTGATGTTGGCCCGATGTAGGCAAGAAATATTGGGCCGATGTTGATTTTTATGTTGGCCCGATGTAGGCAACAAATATTGGGCCGATGTTGATTTGATGTTGGCCCGATGTAGGCAAGAAATATCGGGCCGATATTTTTAAGACATCGGCCCGATATTGTACTACCGATGTCGGGCCGACATCATTCCTATTTGCAGCCGATATTTAATCCGATGTCGGGCCGTTATAGAAAACCATATAGGTTTGATGTCGGGCCGATATAGAATGTTGGCTGGGATGAGTGTGATATTTGTTAAAAATGCAGACATACGTTATTTATGTCATTTATCTGTCAATTAAAAAATGACTTTACAAGATATTAATAATCACCAAGAGTGAAAATGCTGTTACGAGACTGGAATTTTGTCAATATTTTACACCAAGAGCGATATATCTTTAAAATTTTAAGATGACTTGTTAAGTAAAGTTTGATACGAAACAAAAATGTTCCTCCTCTGCAAAACTGTTAATAGATGAAATGTTCAAAATATTCGTAAATTCCGAAATACCATACATATTATATAATTTATCAAAGCAATTTGGAATTTTGGCTGTTTGTCTTTTAATTATTAAGTAACTCTTTACATTCAAGGCTACCAAATAAAGTTTTAACCATAATACAATATGACAGTACATAAACGTATCCTTTCTGAAATAAAGGCAGATAAATATATTTTATTTCCGAGGATTTTAAGATAGCATTGATTGTTTTCAATCGTTAATGTGTTTATTTACCAAAGCTTTCAACTCGCTATACGATCATGGGGTTGTTCGGCTATATATTGACTTTGATAAAACGTTACTTGAAATAACACCAAATAGAAGATTATAAATCGAACATAAGGTTAAGAAAATAATGAGTTTTACAATTAAGAAGTTTAATTTATATGTATCGATGATAAGATTATATAAGTGTATTTCTGTTGTATTATACCTAACCCTTTTGATAGCTTTACTTTAAAACAGATAGTTTAGATGACTAATATTTTGGCAGTAATTCAAATGCATTTATCTTTTTTAAGACAAACAAACAATACAGTTGAGCCTTGGGACTCCTTTTGATAAACAACACCGAAATGAGAAACTTAACATTTTGATGAAAGTTTTATATAGATTAAGCCACAGAATACAAAATAAGTTTTTTATTACTTTTCATGTAATTTCCGTGTGATATTTACTATGGTCTGGCCTGTTCACTAGCTTTATTTTCATTTATCTGCAGATCCTAATTCAAACAAAAACTGTCGTATCTAAAGATTAAAATCCGATTTCTGAACAGTAACGCCAATACGTATAAAGCCGATAAATAACAAATCTTGTAAATTGATAGGAATTTCATATTTTTTCAACTCTAATAATGTCAGCAGTATAAAATTATTTTCCTATACGGTAAAAAGCAGCAACAACAATTCATTTGTTTATGTTCTTCACCCTAAAATTAGGACGATTTAGAGATGATGTGGAAAGTATTGCATTATTACTGCATCTGGGAATAACGCGATACATTTCCCAATTTAAGAAACGCAACCTAATAAACTCTTGCAATGACTTTTTAAGAAATTGCTGAATTATTGCAGTACAAAACACTGGTTCGTAATTTACTGTTTTACTTCATTAGCATGGTTAACATTTCAAAATAAAGGCAACGTGTAAAACAACACATTTTGCAGTGCTTACTAATATTTAAGAAACTAAGATATGTCAACCTGGCCAGCCAGTCTTAAATCTCTTTACCTGTAGGAACGTTCTCGAATTTGATAACATACTTCTTTAACGTTTTAGACTTAAATACAGTGAATAACATGACATTTCTATTAACATGTCGTCGAAAGGCAAA